CTTGGGTGCGGATCGACTTACATTAAAAAATGAACAGTCGAAGTTTACAGTCTAACTAGTGAAAAAGAAAAAAAATTGTAATCGTACTAACCAAGGCATCCAAGACGACAAAGCGATTAGTTGAAACTAGAGTAACTACAAATTTTTGTAACCGCTCTTTTCAGTAATCTTGAAATGCAAGTTATGTAGCCTTATGACAATAGTTTAGTGCCATTCTTATTGAGATCTTTGATTGGATTGAATTTTTCATTAGCTTAAAAGAAACTGGTTGAAAACATCATGATTTCAAGGCTCTGCAAAGGAGGGAAACCGCTCAGGAACACATTTGAAGAGACTATACGATCACTGTCAAAGCAACCAATAATTTTTAACGTTATTAGACATCCGATCGACAGATTTTTGAGTGGTTTTATTAACAAATGTATAAGGTGCGTTTACTTCTACGTGTAACAAAAAATTCAAGTTGAAAGTTTCACTAGAAAAAGCTAATATTCAGAGGAAAGCTGTGCTCTAGCTGCTTTCATTGCTCAAACAATCTTGAATGTTTTCTTACCAAATTACATGAAGATTTGGTCGCTTACTATACGAAATCTAGAACACTGACGGAAAGCGAGTACTTTTGTGTCCAGCATTTTGCACCAGCGAATTGGTAAAGGCTTCTGCCATAATTTTCCTTACATTTGTTTCACGTCTTCTCGCAATCATTTCAGGTACTGCAATTTAGAGAAGAGTTACGACAAAATGCTATTCATGCGATATAATCGTTGCAACAGAAATGAGCTAGCAGAAAACTTTGTTGCAGTGCTCAGCAAAGCACTTGTGCCTCACACTCAAACTAATTACATTAGAGAAGAAGTTCTGAGTAAGTTTATTTTATGACTTGCGCTAGAGCTTTAAAGGCAGTGTCTCACCAAAGCTGAGGTCGCGCGGATCTTCACATATTCTATAATAGGGACCTCTAAATAGGCCATTGCAACAAGTCCCACTCAGTTTGATTGCCTCTTCGCTGAGAAAAATTTGCTTAAAATGGTACGCGGAGAGCGATTTGGTACGCGTGGACGATTCCTTCGGTCTCCCTGCTTACTCATTTGACCATGTACCTCCACATCCACCTTCCTTCTGTTGCTGCCACTGTGGCTGGAACTGAAGTTGGAAGATACATCTCGTCCACGTTGCTTCCGCGGGCCTCCAGAAAACGGGGTTTTTGGGAAATTCGTGCGATTTTAAGCCCATACAGTGCTAGACAGGGTCCGACAGGCTTGCAAAATGCAAAAATATCGGCAACTAAATTTTGGTGAGACAATGCCTTTAAACCTTTCCAGTTAAGGTTCTAGACGTGGGGAACATAAGGAAGCTTCATTGAAAAGTAAGATTATTATGATTTCTTGCTTCAGAGAAGCCCACATTGTATTAGGGTGATTTAAAAGTAATGAGGCACCTTGATTTTTTAAACATTCTTCAAGATCTCTTTCCGATTAGCTATGAACAACCAAAATTTGAACGCTTTCGTAGAAAGTGGCCTTCGCAGATTATCTTGACAGCACCTTGCAGCACCTCACCGACATTCTTTCGAACGGTGCTTCAAAGAAGTCAAACAGATTTTTTTGAACGTCATCCGAATTTGTGCTGCTGCACCTGGAAGTCCCTCGACATACGGCATACCATTTGAAAGAGCTTACCAAGCTCTTTCTAATGGTTACTTGAATATTCAGAAATTGCCAGTTATTTCACACAAAAAGGCACTCTATTCGAAAAAGTGCAGTGTTTGACCCAGATTTTCAGACTAAAATTCATGTTTTGGCCCACAATACCTTGAAAGAGAAAAGTCGAAGTAATTTGCATATGTTTGGAAAGAGCGTAAAAAGCACTGTCAGAAAGCAACCGTTAAGGTTGAGCTTATTTGATTACCTTGATGAAAGAATAAGTAATATGTCTCCTGATACCCAATGCTGTATCTTCTGCTCTACAGCCTTGGGACCACCGAGCTATCGTGAATTTGGTAACAGTCCCCTCAGCCATTGCTGCGCAAATATCTTTGGTATTCTCACTTGTTCTACTGCGGCGCTGCTGCTCAAAGTTCGAATTACTTGAAGTGATGAGCTTCAATTTGAAAGCGCTTATAAAAATAATGCCATGTGACAACATCCAACTATAGACCTCGATCAGAAGGTTTTGTTATGTGCTAACAACTGCCAAAACTTGGACTTTCAATTAGCTTTTCTATTTGAGAAAAGTGCATTTATTCCTTAGGTGTCCCATTACTTTCGGATCACCCTAATACGTTCATTCAGCACGCAGTAATTCTCAAAGGCGCGAATCTGGACAGTATTAGGTCTGAATGAAGAGGAAAGATCCGAAAACAAATCGTTGTTGTATTGAATTCTGGATATAGAACAAAGTCATTTATCAACCAATGAGAATTTACTAGCTGAGCACACCCTCATTCGCAAAATCCACAGGTCTTCACTTGCCTTACTATCCAAAGAGCATATACACAAGGTGGTGCAACCACGATCCGGCGAGAGGTGACGGATAGATCCTTGCCAAACGAATTTGTATTTGCCACTTTGATATTTTACGGTTTACATGTTGATCGCGCCAGAGCATCAGTTACTTGAAAGGCGACTTCAAAAGATCGGACTCTTTGATACTATTCCGATACTGGCGGGAAGGGAAGGAGGACTTTTTGAACCAAATTAATGTAGAGTAGATTCATATAAGGATTACATGAAACAATGCGGATTGAAAGTTTTGCCATCCTCAGGGGCAGCATTAGCTCGACCATCTCGAATTGGAAAAAAAGCTGAGCACACATTCATTTTGCATAATCTTCACTAAAACACTTCACAAAATTGGCTGATGTCGTAACTAGATAAAATTTTTCTTATCTCGCGCCGCAAAACAGCTGAAAAAGGAGACAATCTACGTTGATTCCAAGTCTATTAGCTGTCGAATGGTCTATCAACTGTTTGTGCATAAATTTTTAATAAAGAGGCTTCCTCCGGCGACATATGAAAGCCAAGCCATTGAGAAGGGTGGGGTGGGGAAGGTCAATGGTAAATATCTCCACCTCCTTTTTGAAGAGCCACAAGACCTTTCATCTAACAAGCTATATACCAAGAGAGCTCTCAGAAGGGGGTCCGAGTAGACCGTCTCTTTTTTCATAGCGTCCATCCACTCGGAGATACACGGCATTTCAACTAAAAACACGCGTCTTTTTGTAAGGAAATCTCTACAAAGAATGAATAGAGACGCCTAATTGTTTCTTGTTACAGAGCAAGACTTGCCAATAAACTTAGACCCAGTAAACTTATCTCTTTTTCACTGGTTTCCCTCTTCCTTTTAGAGATATAGCGCATAAGATTCGCATAAAATCAGGTGATACTTCAATTAGATGAAAATCTTTATATGTGTTCACAGGAGAGCTGAAAAAAAAAGACATATGTCGATATATGTTTCAAGCTCTCGAATGGTATGTCGACGGATGAGACGTAAAGCTTTCCTGAATCAAAAAAAGCCTTTGTTCGATGGTCTTTCAAAAACAAGCATTGAAAAAAGTTTTTAAATTACACCTCTGTATCACTTGTTTTCCCTCGTTGCACACTTCAGCCCCACTCGGCATGTAAACTTACTCAGCATTCACCTCAAGGCTCATTTACAACCTTTACTTTTGTAGATCGAGATATTAGGTTGAAGCAAAAGAAATGGCCGATTTTCCAAGCCTTTCTTCAGGGCAACTTTTTTTCCATCGATACTTCTTCTTTACAATAGATGTAGTGTACCATCGCGAAGCTGTTTTCATGCTCTATCTAACGGTGCTTGAAGTGGGCTTTCATCCTCATCTCTTATAAAGTTACTGAGCCTCAAATAACCGCATTCAAATTCAAAATTTCATTGCATTCACTTTTCCGGCCAGAATTCAAGCGCGTATTAATGGGACTTCTTCGAAAATTTGGCTGTTGTATGTAATAGAAGTTTTCTACATTAGGCATACTTAACTGCATTCTTTGAAGTTATCCAGATTGAGATATCGGCGCCTAAACAGGGTAGCTGTTGCGGTCATTTTATGACCCATAATTTTCTTCTGAGGAAGTCAGTCACCGAAGCTTTGCTCAATTCTGTAAGCGTAGGGCTAGGACATTTGTTAGCACTTTTTGCAAAAAAATTCAGCTCTTCAGCACGTAGAAAATCAGAAGATTCTATATTGCGGACTTTGAGGCACACTGAAAAAATGTTGAAAAACTGAAAAATTTTAAATTTCAATTTTTTTTCTTTCTCCCAAACCTCTTTGTCCGAATTCTTTAATTGTATTTTGCACTACTGGCTTGCGGCTACAAGATAGGCCACTTATCATTCATACTAAGAATTTTTGAAGGAAGTTATGAATTGTCAAAAACAAGATTTTAGCAGAAGAACCTTTTTTGTCTTTGAAATCGTACTTCTCTGCCCGTTTATGGTTTGAATATAAGTAAATATGCGCTGTTTTGCGAAAGGCTTGCTGTTTTTGAGGGTTTTTACCGCATTCAGAAATGTGGATTTTCTAGAAAGTTATTGCACGTCAAAGTGAGAATTCGCAAATCGGCCATTCCTTTTGCATCAACCTAATAGAAGCCAAAACCCCCTTCACGTGAGGGGTGCCCTTTCTATCGTACATATGTTCCCGTCTTCTACCACCCTGTGCCGAGCCTCCTTAGTACCACCGTTACTGGGGAAGTCGGAAGAAAAGTTTTTAGGCCTTCATTTATTTATTAATCACTGCAGTCGGTAGATAACGAAAAAGATAGACACGTGTTAACAAGAATGATCGACTTTGAAACCCTGGAGCCTTGTGAAAGTGTATGAAACACTATTTTTTGAGTGCAGCGAGCCTGCGGGTAAAGGCTAGTTGACATTCGATAATGTATGATTATATTATCAGAAGAACACCAAGATTAAGAAAAAAATAATTCTCCATTTATTCTAAAGTATATGGAAATAAAACTGTGAATGTATAGATAATGAAAAAAAGATGACGGATAAATAATTAATGATAATGTTTAGTCTGGCGTGATCTGAAAACAACTGAAAAGAAGAAAATAAAAATAAAAATTAGATGCAGATTTTTTGGAGGAGCAGGCATTGTTCATTCTATCGTCGCATTGTGATTTGATCGAAATAGATCCTGGTCAGTATCCTATAAATAAAGTCATCAGAATTATCCTTCAAACCTGAAACTCTTTAGAACTTCTTTGTTGAATACGAGTATGGATGTAGTTTTGACAACCTTCTCAGGAAGTGTTCCATGTTTTGGTGATACGTACCAAAAAGGAATTTTGAAACTGCTGTCTTCGTGCGTTTCCCACTTTGAGTCTGAGAGCGTGTCCTGTGGTAATAGTGTTGAAATGAGAAAATACAAAGAAGTGTTGCATTGCAAGGTTGATCTTTTTGGCATAGTTTTGGCAAGGTTTTGGTCGTAAATTTTTTCTTCAGTGAGAGTGAGAAAGCAGCAAGCATAGAAAGTCGCGATTTGTAAGATAACCGAAACAGCCTTGCTCTTGAACGTGCAGTATATGACTTCTACATTCTTCCCCGTCATTCTCTTCGTAATGGGAAAACCATACAGGAGTGCAGTACTCTGGTAATGGTCGAAGGCGGAGGTAGCGAAGAGGCGGAAAAGAGTCTCAACTTTGTAATTCGAAAGGCTTGCAGTATGTAATTAGATTTAGTATGAGCTATTCTAGCGAGCTCTTCTATGTAATACTCAAGGTTGATTTCATCGCAATAGGTGACATCGAGATCTTTAGTGAGACTTGTCACCCGAACTTTTTGAGTTCTCAGGTAAAAGCTGTGAAATCGAAGAGGTTTGGCTCCAACAAACATGATACATGTTTTTTCTACCGAGATATCAAGCTACCATCGTACTAACCAATCCTTCAACGCATCTAAAGTTTTTTGCATCAATGCAGGTACATTATAGCACAAGAGTCTGGTATTATCGGCATAGATGGAGCAGAAGATATTTTTGGGTAGACATAAGGTCAAGTCATTTATATGAAGTAGAAATAGGAGCGGTTCTAAGTAGCTTCCTTGAGGAACACCGCTGTTTGTTTGATAGGAGAGGAAAAAGATATAGTGATTAAAACTTGCTAAGTACAAACAAAAAGGCCTTGAAAAATTTCAGAGACAACCTTCTATTCTGTATGCTTTTATGGCAAAGTAGATTCAGTACAACCGAGTCAAAGGCTTTTGGTAGTCTATGTAGCACACAGTAATAAATCCTTTTTCATCAACTATTGTTGTCATATGGATATCGTCGAAATGAGAACTGTCAATTTGAATCTTTTGAGAGAGAATCCATGTTGAACTGTACGTATCAGTTGGTTGTTCTCAAAATACCTGTGAATTTCCTTGCATTTTATTCTCTCAATAACCTTGCTTACTGAAGATGTCAAGCAGATTGATCTATAGTTTTTTGGCCGAGATTTGTTGCCTTTTTTGAAAATCAGTTTCACGATTGCATACGCCATAATCTGGAATTTCTCCGCGAAGCAGGAAGCTTTGAAACAATATAAGAGAGCTCATAAGGAGACCTAGATTTTCTGAGAGACAATTTCTTCAAGGCTTGATATACGATGTCACCAGTAATGTCTAATAAGTCGATTTCAGCGTTTGTGAGTTGTGGCCATGCAACTGTGGAGTGAATTGAATTTTGTAAACAGTTTTGAGAGAAAGCGGCAAATGCTTTAGCCTTGTCTTTATCAGTATGACAAACATTACCGAGTGAAACATATGTAGTGCCAATACTGGGCTAATTTTCAAATTTTGATTGCAGAAGAGGCAAAATGTTTTGGCTTTTGTGTAGTCTATGTGGCACACAGTAATAACTTTTTTCATCCTTTTTGATATTGCAACTACGTGCAACAACTTCTTCTTCGGAATCCTGTAAATTGCCAATTCACGTTTCGTCTTTGCGGAGACTTCGGTATTTTTGCAATACAATCTTATGTCGACCTTTATAATCTACTTTAGCTTCCAATTTTTGAGTTTTCTTTTGATATGCGAAAGTGTGTTCTTGAACAAGTTTGATTCTGGTTACGAACCTTCTTCTATTAGTACATGACAATATTCAGCAAACATGTCCTTGAAAAGTGAAGAGGGTACTGAGCCATGAGGTGAAGTTAGCTTACTTGTCGACCGGAGCTGGGATGAAAAAGAGAAGGAAAGTGGTACAGAGCAGTGGCGTACAAAGAGGGGGGATGCCCCCCTACCCCCCAGATTGATCGCGAAATATTTGAAAGGTGCAGATGACTTGATTATGCTTGTAAATAATTAAAATGATTTTTCAAACTTTTTAAAAATTCAATATAGCTCCATTGGTACAGAGTTATATAATGGAGAATTATTCAAAGCTTTTGCTTTGAAATCCGACAAACAGAGACTTTTTGATACAGGAAAAAACTAAATTTTCCATGAATCGCTAGATCACTAGAAAGCTTGAAACTTTCGAAATCAGAAAAACAGGCGGTTTCTGTCTATTGTTTCTTGCTCTCTAATACAGTCAGAAAATTAGGCATCTTCATTCGTTTTCTGAGCAATAATTTCCTGGCAAAAATTGCATTGCTTTCAGTCAAAAAGATATTTATGTGTGAGTGGAGGGGCCAAAACAGACCATTTTGTGAGGTTTGTGATGATACTCTATGCGAGGCAATAGCGTACCCCCGAAAATAGGTCGGAATTTTTTGAAAGTTGCTTAAATGTGCTATAAAAATGTGCAAGCGACTTATTTTTACTTTTAAGTAATTCGATTTTAAAATGATTTAAAAATTAAAGTCACCCTTGTAAAAGTTTTTTTTCGTGGGCGCCCCCTTTTTCTAAAATTTTGGGGTCAGGGGCCCGCAAAAAAATTGGGAAACATTCCAGAACATTTTTCGGAGCGCGTGGCTAACGCCACGCACCTTCACCCAAAAAATTTTTTTGCGCCCACCCCCGAACGGAAATCCTGGGTACGCCACTGATGCTAGGTTGTTGCCAAACTAGTAAATATGATTGAGAGGGGACAGAAGTGGGAGCAAATTTTAGTTTTGAAAATCTACCTTTTCAGGGCGATTACCCAAGCATGCAACGTCGAACGGAGAAGAACGGAAGGATGTGGAGAAAAAACTTCTAACCAACCCACATCTTCTTCGCTTCCTGTTACATATTTACTACTACGACTTTATAATTTTTGATTACAAATTTCTAGAAGGAATAGATTGTCATGTCGCTGTCAAAGGAAACAAAACGCTGCAAACAAATACTAACACTAGCTTTCTTAGTCGCGAATTGAGCAGAGTTGGTAGCATATGGCATTTACTTCGAGCGCAACTGGCATTGCTTTTTGGAGTTACTAGATGACTTTGACTAATAAACAATGAGATAGTCTTTATTACAGCATAAAAAAGCACGATATACCGGTACATTGGATATTATGGAATTCAAGCGAAATGATACAAATCATTGCCTAATTCTGATCACTAAACTTCAAGTCACCTCATTGCTACGACCTATAGGGAAGAGGACATTAGGTCGCCAAAGGAGGTCCCGTGCAAGGCCCGGCACGAGTCGGTTTCTAAGGTTTCGGAAAACGAAGTCCCCCTAGACTTTCGGAAGTTTTACGAAGTTCTCTTTGACCTACCTACTTAAGGGAAGATGAAAACAAGAGAGATTTACTAGTCAGAAAGAAAAAACGTGAGATAGGAATAGATATATCCCAGTTGGAGCTGAACATTATGCGTGCACAAAAGTTTGGCATTGGAGCGCGATGTTTAACACAGCGATTTATGAAGAAATTAAGGCAAAAACAAAGGAGAGGTAATGATATGAAAATGTCTTCATGATCAGGGATAGATTTTTGTTCGGGGAATCCGTCCATGATAGAAAAATCCAAAACTTATGTGAAGTGACAGAAATATATTCTCCAGAGATCTCAGATTGTCTGGTGGCCGTCTGGAGACAATCTAATTTTGGAAAAGGTATTACTTCACATAAGTTTCCAAATCTTTTTACATAATCCTTTCGCAAATAATTTTGTATACATACAGTCCAATTTTTGTGTCATACGATTCTGTGTACGCTGTAAACAAGCGTTTTTTTCATTTTAGCCTTGCTTTCGAATCCGCGCAGTTTCGCCATACACGATAGAGCATGTCGAACGTGCGATAACCTGTCCGAAAAGCTTGTGTTCGACTAAATGGCGCTTATTCTTGGTGCTCGGTCCCAATTCGTCAAAAACGATAACTGCTTTATTTTTTGCTCCAAAAACGAAGTCCAGCCTGCTTCCAGACGATCTATGCCGGGCTCTGGCATCCGCAACAAATGCGCACTTCTCTCCATAGCAGCTCGTGTTATCGCGTGGGCGGAGGTATATGGCATCCTATTGTCCTCTTCCCTGACTTATGTGACCATTCAGATATCCACAGCTTTGGAGATATAGTAAAGGAGTGGAAATGAATGCAGGTGTTTTTTGAAGTCTGGTTTGCATCAAGGCTGCAACTATCATAAGTAAATATGCGTAACCGATTTCTCATGTGTCTTACTCACCACATTTTTGTAATCGGCCATAAGCATTGTCATCCATATGGACACTGTCAACAACAGCCCCAAAGCGAAGAATAGCAACGACAATCGAATGGATTTCAACTACAAGCATATTGGGATTTGTCGGTGAAGGCGAAGAGCATTGGCGAAGATGCGTTCAATTGGCCGTTCCAGCATCGTTCCAGCGTCGTGCCAGCGCCGTGCTAGAGCTTTTTTGAGGCTGAGCGCAGCGCCCATTTCAGCAAGTGTCTAGCATGACGCTGGCACGGCGCTGGCACGACGAATTCGAGCAGCTCTGAACACAGCCTGAGATGCATCACACTAACCGGATTGCCATTGACCTTGTCATGTTCGTGTTTATCCACGGTGCTGTTCAAGAAAGTGAATAGAACAACCAGTGTTAATGCGCCTTCATACCGCGCCCGCAGCCGCCGCTAGCAGCCCGTAGCAGCCGCTGGCGGCCGCTAGCCGCCCCTGGCCGCTTTTGTTATGGAAGCGCAAAATCATCAAATTCTTACTACTATGAGTGCGCCCGCCCATGCTTTCCATCTTCCACGCTTCTTTCTTCCTATCGCGACTAAAGTGCAGTTCCACTCTCACACACTACAAAGTTATTCAAGATAAGCACCGGCCAAAGATATGATTGAAGCAGAAGCATGCATAAAGAATAAACACTGCAGAGGACGCATCGAAAGTCCGACGAAATCACATCGCGAAGAAATTTTGGCGAAATATGGTTCAACTGCGAGAGGGAAACTGAGCACCAATAGGATAACCAAGGTTCAGCAACAAGATAATAACAACAATGGACACAAATATAATATATGAGATCGAATTGCGACAACAGGAAGGGAAAAGCGTGGAAGATGGAAAGCGTGGGCGGTTGCACTTAAAGTAGTAAGAATTTGGTGATCTTGCGCTCATATGGCAGAAGCGGCCAGCGGCGGCTACGGGCTGCTACGCGCTGCCAGCGGCTGCTAGCGGCTGCTACGGGCTGCCAGCGCGGGCCGCTAGCGGCGGCTGCCGGCACGGTATGAAGGCACCCTTATGATTATAACTGATGGTGAAAGTACTAGCACAGTTGTAGCTCATGTTGTTGCCGGATTTTGAATTGCAACGCTGGCTGTTGGCAGCGTTGCAATTCAAAATGTTATGGCTGTTGCAACAGCTAAAATAAATTATAGATTTAACAGTCTGCCCCTCCCGATAATGTATTTTTTTACTTGCAAGAGCAAAAGCCACGACTCCAACAAGACGATGACTCCAGTTAAATATGCGTCGTAGGGGATGGACTGGTGCACATCTAGAAATTTTTGGGTCAAGGCTGTTATTCAAAAAGAACTGAAAAGTCTGACAAATTTAAGCTGTTCATTAATCCATTCGAGCTCGTTTTTCCTTAGTCAGAACCTTGAATTTTTGCCTCTGCCTTTTTGCCCCTGATGACCGCGATCACAACCAACTTTAGTCCCTAGACCAGCCCATCGGGCTCTGACCACCGGACTAAGAAATCCATTATGCCGCTTCAAATATTTGTGTAAGTTTGGACGAATCTGGCTGGGTGGGTGGAGTTGAACACAAGAGCTGGGGCTACCCACCTGCTTTGCACATGTATATATACATAGAAGCATAGACACATACAAACAACAGTGAAAATGGCTCGTCACTTATTTTGTTAGAGAAGGAGTCGGCTGACCTGGAACCACATGGCAACTCCACAAGGTTTCACGGCTCTGAAGGCAGCTTTCAAGAATCGAGCAAATAAGAACGCTATCGGAATAAAGGAGAACCACGCAAGCACCACGAGAATAGCTAAATATGACAAATGCCTGATGATTTTTAGCAAACATTTTTGGACAAAAAATCTACCTAAGGTTGTATTTTCAAAAACTTGTCATGCGCTTTGACCATGTCGTGACATCTAGACTATATTGATCTGGTGGTGGTGTCAGTACAGGGGCATTCAAAGTTAACGGACTTGATGTGAATCTTTTTTTTCCAATTCGTTAGCCAAGAAGTTTAGAAATCAGATCAAACAGAAAAAAAAACAAAAAAGTCATAAATCCGGAACCAATCTCTCATTGATCGAAAAGTGCGAAATTTATGTGTAAAAATTTTTTCTGATAACATTTTTTTAAGGAACGTGGCGTTGTAACACCTTTTCATTTTGAAAACTTCTTTTCAGTGGTGCCAAAAAATGTTTCAAGTAATCGTGTTTTCCGAGAAAAAAGAGTAGTCAAATCCTTAAGACTGCAAATTTTTGTGGAATAAGATTTTCTGCACACAATTATATATTTTTGTAACTGACATTTGAACCCCGCATTGCAGACGCATTCACAACGCTCACTTTTAATTCACACTACCCTTTGCGTACTGAACAAAGGGATCTCTATGTAAAACTAAGCTAATTCTAGGGCCAAGGTTACTAGGTGAGAAATCGAAGTAGATGAAAAATTCCTGACATTGCCGACTTTAGAAAATCTCAAAAAAGGAACAATTTTTTTAGCAGTTTGGATCTGTTTCAAATCATTTCGGTGTTCTTGTTTGTCAGAAATCCCCCATTGGATGGTTATTAATTGAGTATTTGTGGAGTTTTCAGCCAATACCAGAGTTCGACAGGAAACTTAAACTCACATTTGGATCATCATGTCCTTTAACGAGCACTTTAGCACGACAATAAAGTGTAACATTATTGAACGATGTTGTATTATTTGAAAAGTAGAATCCTTGTTGTGTGCTCTGAAAAAGAATTTTTTTTGTCCCGAAATAACACATAATACCTCTTTTCTTTAATGGTTCCTTCCATAACAACTTTGTAGGCGTTTGGAGCATTTATAGTCGGCGGCAAGCCATTCACAGCATTCGATAGTGGGCTAGAATAATAAGTGTAGAGAATTAGAAAAAAAAGGTAAAAATAAATGTGAAAAATTGACTAGAGATAAGAAATAAACATTGGCATTTGTCAGCTTGCAAAATTAGGACAGTGGGTAAAATCAAAGATAAAAAACATCACGAAAAAGATGTTGATGAAGAGAGGTGGGAAATAGGCTTCATTGATGATAAACTTGCAAGATGCAAGATGCAGGTGACTACACTATTTCCTTGAAAAATTTGCCCTCCTCATGAATCTACCCAAAGACCTTAGCCATACTTTACCCTGTTACTCGTGTTTCCGGTGTTACCAGTGTCTCCTGTTAATAGTGTTAGCGGTGCTACCAGTATTACTTGCGTTACCCGGTTACCAGTTTGACTGATGTTACCGGTATTATTAATTATTAGCGCTACTAGTGTTACCGCTTTTATTGCTTTTGGATAGCGAAATGATGCTAAATTTTTCGTTCTAAAACGTAATATCCCACTAGTAACACTAGTAACGCGAACAAAGCTGGTCACAGTCAACACGGGTAACACGGGTATAGTATGGCGAAAGCCAAAAACTATAACGCATTAGTTGATATTTTTTGTGAACTGATTTATCCTATTTAGGATAGGCAAATTTTTCTTATGAATTGTAGACAACACGGCTTTCACTTACAAAATTTGAAGTGAGAAAAAATGTTAGGGCAGAGATTATTGGATTTTGATCGTGAAGAACATTTCTAAGTCGTTTGAGTATTGGACAAAACATGGGAATTTTTTAGATAAAATTTTTCGAACTTAGCAGGAGTCCATGGAGTAAATTCACATAGATATTGATCTTTCAGAAAATTTTTGGCGAGAACACAGTAGACCAAGAAATTCGCAGCAGGCCTGCCGAAACTGAACGCAAACGACAAATAGCTGGAAAATCTTCGAGGTCAGTGCCGGCGGAGTGCTTTGTCGTGTTTGCTCAATATGTGTCCAATTAACTCTTGTTCGAATGCTCTTCGTATAGGGCAATTCAGGTGAGCAATTTAAGAAACAATCGACCTAATTTATTCATCAGTAGTCCGAGGGACAACCTACTACAGCAACATGTGCTATGTACATGAAAAGATGTTGCTTTGCCTTTCTCGTGCTCCTTCAGAAAGTATTTTTAAGCTTCTCAAAACTTTTGTGAAGCTGCATCTAATCAACCGCTAAGTGGCTTAGGGACAGTTTTCTTGACACACATACAATCCATGCAAATAAAAGTACAAGATGCTACGTGATGAAGGAAAAATTTTCTAAATATAATTTGGAAGTACCATAAGGATTATTTTATATCAGGCAACAGATAAAAACCACAGTTTTTCCTCTCCAATGATATAAATAAGTTATGGTATGATTTACCCTGATATTTTGAAAAAACTTGCGTAACAATACTTCTTTGGCATTCAGGGTTTCTTGATAGATTTGAAGTTAAGCATTGGGTTGCCTCATAATTTTTTATTATTTTTACTACAACCGCCGTATTTTCGTATTCTTTGTTTATGTTTCAGAGAAGTGGCTTGAGTAAGCATTCGACAGGGCAAAGCAATCTCTACAAGATGGCTATCAAAAGTATGCCCAAATTGGATCCCACGTAGAATTTTAAGCTGAGACTGATAGTAGTCAAAAACGAACTTTTATGTCAAAATTCGTATCTCCGCCCCAGAGTAGTTAAAACCCCATTTATCCTAGCATATGCTTGACACATCGCACATCCAATCGTACACTTTTCGAATATTTTCCATGGCTAGAACTGAAGAGAAATGAATGAGGTAAAATGGCAAACTTTCCCCGAGACGTGTTGAGTCCTCCCACGCATGTTATTATACGCCTCATGCATACAGAAGTACGATCATGTATTTGTATTCTTTGTAGGTGCTTCAATTATTGAGAAATGCTGATGTTTAGGGTAAAAACGGTAAAAAATCATGGGACACCTTAATACTTGATAAGGGTTTTTTAGCACAAAATTTAGCTTACGGTGCTCACTATCCTTATTGCAACAACAAAGAGATAGGAAGGTCAAAGCTGAATCAATTTTGCACTTATTCTTTTGCAAAAAGTTTCATCCATCGAAATACCGATAATTCATGAAAAAGCAATGAGTAGTTGAATGAATAGTTGTTTACAATTCATTCGTGATTGTCAATGTTGTGAAGTATTAGGTCGTCCCGAAAGTATTTTCGCTTTTTTCAAACAATCGCCACGGTCCGCAGAACAAAGATTCTTAAAAGATCTTGGAATTGTTCGATGCAGTTTTTTATGCTCTTTCAAATGGTCATCTTTACGTTGCAGTTTAAAGAACGAGCTCTTAGAAAATAATCAAAAACTGCAACCCATAACTTTTGCCATAGTCAGTTTCCGGTATTTTTCTAAATTCCTGTAGTAATTTCCCGAACGTGTTCAAGTGACCTTCAAATAAAGCAAACAAAGTAGGATACAAAACAATTTCCGCCCCTGCCAAATCTTATTTTACAAAGTTTTTAGAAATACTTTTTCGATGCCAGCAAATTCTATATTTCGTCAACTTAGACCTCATAGAGCATCACTCGGGAAGCAACTTGGGTGTTATTCGATGCAGCACCTTCTCCTCTTTCAGATACATGTTTTTTGTTTCCGAATCGTAAACTTTTAGAGGACAAAACCGACAAAATTCATGTTTTTGATGGCGCCCCAAGATGTACCCGAAAAATTTAAAATCTGATATTTCGGACCTGGAAACGCTCATTTGTCTTGTAAAACTAGTAATGAATCTTAATCTATCTTTGAGAGTATCAAAAGCTGAGAATTTCTTAGAGTTTAACGAGTTTGCGTCTGGTATGGGTCTGCTAAAATTCGATAGTGTTGTTTGAAATTTTGTTAAAAAATTATTGAGTTCTGGAAAGGAGAAAGAAATTGTTTTGTATCCTACTTTGTTTGCTCCGCAGGTTACTTGGGTTTCTTTGGAGAATCAGCACAAGAATTTAGAAAAATAGCGAAACTTGACCTTGGTAAAAAGAGTGGGTCGCAGTCTTTGGTAATTTTCTGAGACCTCGTTTGTTAAACTGCAATGTAAAGATGACCATTTGAAAGAGCATAAAAAACTGCATCGAACAATTCCAAGATCTTTCAAGGATGTTTGTTCTGCGGACCGTGGCGATTGTTTGAAAAAAGCGAAAATACTTTCGGGACGACCTAATAAGTTCCAAAGCGTTCATTACGCGACAGTGAGTAAGGCATTTATAAAGTAGAACTAGTCGAGCCTCTGCGAAGCAAAGGTGACGCACTGGTGACAACATAATCGAGTACATAATTCGAATAAAAAATGTTGTACTCTCTAACTCAATGGACAAATCCGAAAAGAACATTTGTGGTCTTGCAAAAGCAACATGGTTTCCTAGGTCAAAAGAAGAAATTGTTAGGGTACCATTTGAATGGAAAGTGGAGCACGAAGCGAAGGAAATGAACTTTGAAGCTGATAATGAATGGTAAAGTGCAAATGTAACTGAATTACCCGGCACAACAAACAGAGGTAGTTTTTAAATGAATTTGATCTAACATCCGTCGCATTCCGCAAAGTTGTTTGTTAGTCGTTCTCTCAGTAAATGTGCTTCCCGATGTACGCGCATTCGACCCCGGCGGACATTTTTTTCTTCCTTCAAATTATCCACCACAGGTATCTTGACAGCATTTCTTCTCCAGAGAGATTTCACTAACATATTGTGCAGCACCTAAACATGTCACACTGAGCAGGTAGAATGATAGCGCATGGATCACCTACGCATTCCGTCATTATTATCAATTTCTATTCTCCAAAGATCCATACAGAGGCGCCTGAAATACCCAAAAATGACTAGCAATTATCCAAAAGACACTTTGACCGCGACTTGCTTCCGAAAGACAAATTCTCGGTAAATTAAACAATAAAGTCATTGTATCTATTAGGTTGTCAAGAAAATAATGTCCGTTTTAATTTGCTTGCTTTAACAAAGCAACCAGACTCAGCCCAACAAAGGATAAGGGGTACTGTTCGATAGAGCAAAGCAAGCTCTACAAGATGGCACTCATGTCTTTGCGCCATGCTCGATCCACGGAGAGTTCGAACTCAAAATCTAAAGATTTCCAAATGCCCAAAAAATCGAAAAAAATCGGATCTTTGTCCAAATAATTTCTACGAACCTCCCACTCGCTCACATCAATACTATCGATATCTGATATCCATACGTGCGATTGCCGTATTTTTTCCTTGACTAGAAACTGAGAAAACGAAAATTTCCCTGATTTTCTCAAAGCAATGCTGAGCCGTTTTTGCATATGTAGTTCTATACTACAAGCCTAGGTAAGCATAACTGTAGGTTCTCAGCCTATTTCGAGCGGTACTTTTCGCGAAATGTCGATTTTAGCACTGAAACTGAAACGACAAAATCCGAATTCGTTATTTTTCGAAAACTACCGCGTGGAATGGGCTGAAAATCTACAGTTATACTTACCTAGGCTTGTAGTATAGAACTACATATGCAAAAACGGCTCAGCATTGCTTTGAGAAAATCAGGGAAATTTTCGTTTTCTCAGTTTCTAGTCAAGGAAAAAATACGGCAATCGCACATATGGATATCAGATATCGATAGTATTGATGTGAGCGAGTGGGAGGTTCGTAGAAATTATTTGGACGAAGATCTGATTTTTTTTCGATTTTTTGGGCATTTGGAAATCTTTAGATTTTGAGTTCGAACTCTCCGTGGATCGAGCGTGGCGCAAAGACATGAGTGCCATTTAGTAGAGCTTGCTTTGCTCTATCGAACAGTACCCCTTACCCTTTGTTGGGTTGAGTTTGATTGCTTTGTTAAAGCAAGCAAATAAAAACGGACATTATTTTCTTGACAACCTAATATAAGCTAAAACACAACTAAAACAATTTCCATGTTCCGTAGTCATTAAACCTAGGCATGTTCGTAAGTGTCGAATATTGTTGCGCCGAACAGGTTGTTAGGTGGTCGTTTTATTGTCAATACTCTTCGGCTTTACGTTTCGACGCTTTCGTCTTCATCACAGGCCTGGAATGGTTCAATATCTATAATGCACCATTTTCAGATGGTCTGGTACTTATTACTCCCAAATACGTGGATTAATTACTCCCAGATACGTGGATTAGCTATGGGCCAAAGACTAGCACCAATTTTCGCCATATGCTTTATGAGCAGAATTGAAGAGCCAGTCCTAGCACGTATGCCACTGATGTACTGTCGTTACATCGATGATTGCTGTGTTGCAACTTCAACACAGTCCGAGATGGACGAGTGTTTCAGGACTCTTAACCACCAATCACAGTACATCAAGCTCACTCCTGAGATACCTCGCGATGGATGGCTGCCTTATCTCAACGCTCAAGTAGAGGTCCGCTGGCATTGTAAGAATCAAATGGTATCGCAAGGAATGCTCCAAAAATATCCTCATCAATGTAAGATCTGCATATCCTGCTTCTGTGAAGCGTGCTGTCATTAATAATATGTTTAGAACCGCGATGCAGAGTGCAACGAAGAGGAGAAGCGATGCGAGTCACGAAGACTGGCTACCCAAACAGCTTGCAGTAACGGTTACCATTCTTCACCGCACGTTCACCATCGAAGAAATGGCAACAACATTCGGGCTGATGACAAACTTCTACTTTGCTTGCCATTCATTTCTGATAAGGTCAGCGCGGCTATACAGAAGTGCATCGTTCGTGCGCAGCTGCAAGATGATATTATATTAGTGAACGTTCCCAACAATAATATCAAGAAACAGCTCGTACGTAACAGGCTCTACGATCAATACTGCGATACGGAGCAATGCGTGATATGCTCGCATGGCAGAATGGGTGACTGTGCGAAGACGGGAGCAGTGTATCAGCTTGAATGTATGAAATGTAATGAACGCTATATTGGGGAAACAGGAAGAACACTTGGCATTCGCATCAGAGAGCATTTGTCAGATAAAAGGCGCAAGAATTTGGCTTCGCCGATTGGCAGACACAGGCACGAATCGCATGGTGGGGATGGCTTTGATATCAAAGTTACAATTCTAACACTTGAAAAAGAGATCTCGGCTAGGAAAGCTTGGAATCATCCAGAAACAGGGCCCGGCACGCGTTGGTTTGGAGCATTTTTGGAAACGAAGTCCCCCATTTTCGCGAAAATTTACGAAGTTCCGCCTGATGTAAAAATCAGTACGGAAACCCTTATTCAATCAAAAAGAACCACAAATAGCGAAAAAAGCGCATTCTAAGGTGCATATGACAAATAAGCAAAAAGAAAACATTTTGAGTTGATTAAAGGTTCTGTCATTGGATATGGTACCATTTCAGGCCTCGGAATGTCAAAAACCTTCTAGGTCAACCATATCCGTGGTCTCAACAATCTGGCGATGCATTTTTTGCCACATATTTCAATGGACACTGTGTGTGACTGGAGCGCAATATCTATCAATGCATAGATTCACTACTTTTGGCTCAAGAAAAGAGGAGAGGCAATGGTTTGATTTGATTTCTTTTCACTATATGATAGATTTTTGACCGTTTTAATCGTCCAAATGAAAAAAAAGCCAAAACTTATGTGAACTCATCGATATTTATGCTCCGAACCAACCCAGTTGGTTTGGTGTTGGTCTAGAAACCAACAAATTCGGGAACGGATATCAGGACACATAAGTTTTCGAAACTTTTTACATAACATAGTTTGGAGTAATATTGCACACACATAGCCCAAATTCGGAGCCATATGATTATTTGTGCTCTGTAAAAAAGCCATTTGTTTGTTTGAGTCTTGCTTTCGAAATTCGCGCGCTTACGAGAGAACACGCTCAACTCGTGAAACCTAACATGTTCGTCGTTTTTTTTTCGGCGCTTCCTCCAGAACCTTATAAAAACGATATCCCCCTTGCTTTTAACTTTAAAAACGAAGTCCGGTTTGAACTCAGACCATCTGTGCCGGGCCCTGTCCAGAAATGAACAACAAAAACGAGTGCTTATCCATAACCGCTGATTTCCTTCCGTTTTTATCATTATGTGAGCTATAACTGCTTATGTGACATCCCTCAGTATAGCTCAGTCGTCCGTCGCAAACATCTACATCCGGTAGGGACATCTAACGAAGCGGTGGTTCCCTGGTATGTCTTTTGTCATTACAATTTTTGTAGCACTAGATTGAGGGAAGAGCCGAGAACGGCAGGGGCTGGAGGAGACGTTTGATGGGCTAGAGTTACGGATGAAGCTTTGAACCATTCCAGGTTTCTGATGAAGGCGAAAGCGTCGAAACGTAAGGCCGAAGAGTATTGACAATAAAAGGACCACTTAATAACCTGTTTGACACGACAATATTCGACACTTACAACTAAAACATGTTCGTGTTTTTCTAGGCTCGCGAAAAGCGTCTGATTGATTAGAGTTTCTGTAATCAAGAATGTTATAAATGCCCCCGTCAGCCAATGTAATGATCGACACGACCAAAATGAAAGAGAGGAGTAGGAACTGAGAAGCTTTCCTTCGACGTTTCTGGATATTGTCAGAATGGCGGTGTTTGAAACAGGCCTAAAAAAGCAAATTGAGAAAAATTAATTGTTTGCGATTCACACCTGATTCAAACACGCTTTCCTTTCCACCACAGTCCAACATTAGTATGCGTCGGCTGTCTACGAATATTAGTACAAAGCAACATGTACTTTCTGTGATAAACCGAAAATGGCAGCCGTGTGAGATATGCATACTCATTACACAGCGGAAATGATTTCCTATTTAGGGCTGCTATGCCTCGAGGGTATTTCCAGAGAAAACGCGAAACCTTCGGCGCTCTGCTTCCATGTTTCGGACGTTGAGGCTGAAAAGGCTTCCTTATAAAGCTCATAGATATACCTAAGTTACGAGTCTGTGCACAGGTCCGACTGGATATCTGTACGATCTTATAGAACGAAGTCGACTTTGAAGAAGGAGGAGCAGCTGCGGGAACTCGTTGAACTCGAAACGTGTGTATTCGTAGAATTTTTCTTCGACCGCCACCTTCGTTCGTCATCGTCATCTAAGTAGCCGCTGGAAGCTGCGGAAGACAATATGACTTGTGCGGCATGAGTTCCACTGAAACAAAGGGTCTTGCTTTGGCGAAGTCCTTGTGCCAATAACAGAACGTCCAGAAAGGGCAAAACTTTAGACTAAAAGTAATGGATAAAACACTGGTAGGTGATAGATTGTACAGTTCACCAACATCTCCTACTTTTGCCGCTAGTGGCTTTGAGAATGAGTGCGGCATACGTTCCAAGTCGACGAAATTGCATGGAGACGGATTTCTGGTAGCTATGGAATCTGCCATTTCTCTCGAAATCCGCTTCGCTACCAAGCCTTTGAATTACTTCAGATTGTGCAAAACACGTCGATACTGCGGCTAAAGACGTGCTAGCTTGTAGAAGCAACAAACTAAACAATATGCGACGCATTCAGAATAAGGAAAGATTTGCTGTAGGAAGAAGAAGCATCTGTTGCATGCCAAGCGGTGGATGTAAACAAAGTTGAAGGATTCAATACGTACTAAAAAAAGCTCTTGGCAAATAGTTCCACATACGTTGTCCGCGGAAAGACATAAGAGCAGAAGCGGAAAACAATTAGTTCTAGCCTTGGTGTGCGCCAGTCACGATTTGAAAAAAAGATTGCGAAATCTTTTCGGAGAGGAAGAAGTGGCTCGCGACATATTGTTCGCCGCTGATGCAGACTTTGCGACGCGATTTCTCTCAGTTACGGCGATGTTGTGGCGTCGCCACTAAAGTATGCCCGTCAAAAACTGCTCGCGACGGCACGCGAATTGTCGCCCCTACAAGCTGGCACGAATGCGACGGAACCCACTCTTTCGAATACTTGAAGGCGACGAGTCAGGAACCATGTTCAGTGGAGTAATCGCGCAGCGATCGGAATCGCGTAAGGTATGCTGCCCGATGAGTAAGACATGATCCGTTCCCTCGCAGGTGCCTTAGGCCCCGCGCATATCTCATGCGATTTCATCGGAACGCGATTTGGCAATACTCCAGTTGCTTATAACGCGTCGCAATTTCAATTTAAACACACGGAAAATAGCACATTTCATCGACTCACAAAAATGAATATACAAAGCATTTGTGGTCTGTGAGTGTTGGGTTTAAAGAGATTTGGCAACATGCCGAAATCGCAAGAGGTATGCCCCTGGCTTGTTGTTATGTTTGTCGCCCATGGCAATACATCCTTCAATGACATAAATTTCAGCTTTCTAGATTTGAGAAGACCTTTTTTGTTTTTTACCGCTATTTTTCAATGAAGATGGATGAGTATCGACAGCAATGACAGCAATTAATAAAATCTTGATAGGGAATAGATGAAAGAGATTGCCCAGCAGACCGAGAATTTTTTGATTATTCATTCGACTGAACCAATCTCGTAATAGAAATGGACAAGTCACCCCAATGCCATTGAATGTTTTGAGTTTATCTGAGTAGTCCTCCAGAAAAGTCGTTCACATTTTATATTCTGATGAAATGTGCTTCAATTCCCTCAGAGAATGCACCGCTTTAATCACGGTGATTCTTGTTGTTTTCAAACTGATAAACAAAGAAGAATTTGGCTACATGGTAACGGAAACGATTCTTGGAGGTAAGAAACCCTTCTAACTCCTCAGCTTTTATCTGTTGAAGTGTATGTTACTACATTTTCCATTCGCTCTACATAGCTTTCAATCACTGATAGTCACAATTCATGGGGGTCAAGATTGTGGAATTACAAATGAGATCAGAACAATTTTATATTCTTATGCCCAGCCGTACGTGAAATTTCAGTCACCATGCGAATTGAAGGCGATTTTTCCAATTTGCGGTCAACACTGCACATTACAAATACGTAATGGCCCGTAGTAAACCCCCATCAGGGCATCTCTCTTGAGGCGGGCCGGAGTTGATCTCATCGCGCCTCAGCACATTGCCAGGGGAGCGGTTAATTTGGAGCAGATCACTTACTGGATGTTCGCGTTTTCAAACGTAGAAACGTTTCTGCCATTTGTGCATCTCTAGTCAAATGAATAAGAATAGTGCGTTTCATGCGGGAGGCCGTGGTTCGAGTGCGGCTAGCGACACCGTTTTTGCTACTTGGCTGGCACCTTTGATAACGGCCGCCGTTGAAAAAATCGATGATAGCCGCTATCAGAGATTTCACCTGGCAAACAAAGAGATAAAACAAATACGCAATATTTTGGCATTCATACAAAGAAAAATTACACTTGGAAAAAAATGAGTAAAAAAGGTAAATTTACTTTCTTTTTATCTGAAGCGGTTCACTATCAAAAACAAGCAACATCTGCAAGAAAAATGCAAAAAAACCTTTTTTTTCATTTCGTCCGCAATCAGCTGTTCATCGATCCTCACTCACTTGGGCGCCCTAAATTGTGCAGTTTTGGGAGTTTTGCACCCAAAAGAACGTCAGCTGCGATGTTTCGTAAGTTACTCGGGAGCAACTTACGGAGGATTTCTCTGTGCTCTCCTCTTTAGCACAGTATTTACCTAACGTCGTCGCCCGGCTCATCTCCGATGACTCGGTCGGGAGCTGATCTCCCTGCAGGGCTTCATCTGAAGCTCACCTGTAGGGTGACCTTCCAGACTTACACTACGGAAACGCGGACAGTCCTCATCTCACCCGACAAAACCTCATATGAGAGCCTCAGGGGAGATCATCTCCCGTGACCGAGCTTTACTACGGGCCAATATGTTAACTTTTGGCGTGAAAAACGCTATCTCTGTGTATCGTACTAAGCTCACGGTCCATACTTATAAGAGGAGGTCCATTCGTACTCAACACTTCTTCATTTAACTATAACCACAAAATTCATCTAATTGGCTATTATTTTGCGCTCCAAAAAACATTTATAACTCACCCTTTAGAGCGCTTGGCAGAAAACAAAAGCAGTTTTATAATCAGCGTTTGATGCTCTTCATATAGGTATATGCATTGGAAAGCTAATCTCGACTTTGTGTCCTTTCCTAGTTAGAGTAATGCGAAATTGTTCATGATTCCTAATAGATAGCTTGTCCTCTACGCAAGCAAAATCAACTAAAAAGATGAGTGGCAAGCTGAAAATGCAAAAACAAAGTTCCCTTTGACTTTTGCGAATTACGAAATCTCCTTTGACCCTAAATTACAATCCCCAAAATATCTCCGAAAAAACGTCGACTAAAAAATGTCGCAAATTTTGTGTCTTTTCGGCCGCGAGAACGAAACCCCTTTGCTTTTTGTCCCAGAAACGATATTCAGCTTACTTATAAACCACCTGTGTCGAGCTCTGTTATAAAATTGCGCTTATGATTTCAAAGCGCTCCCGTTTTTCGGTAGAGCTTTGAAAAACTGGCTATTTTGTGGCAACTGCGATTCGGTAGAGTCATTCGAGCTGTCCTTGAGCCTAACACTAGTTTCTGAAGTATACACTATAATGCGCCTATCGCTCAAACTGTTTCCTCTAGCTTGTCACGAGGGAACTGCAGCGCATCTTTTCACAAGAACCATGGCGGACCTCTACAATAAAACCAGCAGGCCTTTGCAAAGATTCGTCAATAAATCATTGTTGGTGCCACCACTGGTCAACTTCAAAGAGATTTTCGGGGTATGCTCCGCCTCACAGAGACTTGTGTTTTACTTTCTAATTACACTTCATTTGCAGGTTTCTCCCAAGTTCAATTTGGCAACGTGTCATATTGAGAAAATCATGTGCACCTTCCGAGCAGGAATGTTTTGTTATTTGAATCGAAGGAGTGAATTTTTAAAGAAGGGAAGAAGCATAAGCACAGAACGCTGGGGTAACATGTTAGGATTCCAATGCTTCGGACTTCAAATCAACATTATTATGGCATATTTTTTCCTATATATGCTTTACTAGTTAATCATGACCAGAGTAAATCATGAGTTAAGGGGCTCGGCGTGCGGATCGACTTACAATAAAAAATGAACAGTCGAAGTTAATAGTCTAGCTAATGAAAAAGAACAGAGGATAAGTATTCGTACTAACCAAGGCATATAAGACAACAAAGGATCAAAACTAGAGTAACTATAAATTTTTGTCACCGATCTTTTCAGTGATTTCAAAATACGAGTTATGTAGCCTTATGACAATAGTTTAGTACCATTCTTATTAAGATCTTTGATTGGATTGAATTTTTCATTAGCTTAAAAGAAACTGGTTGAAAACACCTTGATTTCAAGGCTCTGCGAAGGAGGGAAACCTCTCAGGAATACATTTGAAGAGACTATACGATCACTGTCAAAGCAACCAATAATTTTTAACGTTATTAGACATCCGATCGACAGATTTTTGAGTGGTTTTATTGACAAATGTATAAGGTGCTTTTACTTCTACGTATATCAAAAAATTCAAATTCAAGGTTTCATTAGAAAAATCTAATATTCAGACGGAAGATGTGCTTTAACTGCTTTCATTGCCCGAAGAATCTTGAATGTTTTATTACCAAATTACATGAAACTTTGGTGGCTTACTATACGAAATCTAAAACATTGACGGAAAGCGAGTACTTTTGTGTGCAGCATTTTGCACCAGCGAATTGGTAAAGGCTTCTGCCATAATTTTCCTTACATTTGTTTCACGTCTTCTCGCAATCATTTCAGGTACTGCAATTTAGAGAAGAGTTACGACAAAATGCTATTCATGCGATATAATCGCTGCAACAGAAATGAGCTAGCAGAAGACTTTGTTGCAGTGCTCAGCAAAGCACCTGTGCCTCACACTCAAACTAATTACATTAGAAAAGAAGTTCTGAGTGAGTTTATTTTATTCTTGCGCTAGAGCTTCAAATCTTTCCAGCCAAGATTCTAGACGTGGGAAACATGAGGAAGCCCCTCTGAAGAGTGAGATTATCATGATTTCTTATTTCAGCAAAGCCCACATTATTGTACGTTCACTTAGCGCAGTAAATCTCAAAGCCGTGAATCTGGATAGTACTTTAGGTGTGAATGAAGAGGAAAGGCCTGAAGACAAGTTGTTGTTGTAGTGAATTTTGGATATAGAACAAAATCATTTATCAACCAATTGGAACCGTTACTAGTTGAGCACACCCTCACTCGCAAAAATTTTATAGGTCTTCATCTTCCCTTACTACCCAAATAGCATATACACAAGGTGGTGCAACCATGATCCTGCAAGAGGTAACGGATAGATCCTTGCCAAACGAATTTGTATTTGCCACTATGATATTTTACGGTTTAAATGTTGATCCCGCTAGCAGTGTCAGTCAATTGAAAGGCGACTCCAAGAGATCGGATTCTTTGATAATATTCCGATACTGGAGGAGAGGGAAGGAGGAAGTTTTGAACCAAATTAATGTAGAGTTGTTTCATGTAAGGATTACATAAAACAGTGTGGGTTGAAAGTTTTGTCTTCCTCAAGAGCAGCATTACCTCGACCACCTCGAACTGGAAAAAAGCTGAGCACACATCCATTTTGCATAATTTTTCACTAAAATATAGGTCATACCAGCTACCATCGATCGTGGGTACCCACGGGATGAGGTTGCGAATGCGCGACGCGTGCAGCGAAATTCGTACCCGAGCGCGAAAGCGTCGCTGTTTCTGTGACTAGTGTTAAATATCGTTTTGTTTTTTAGCAGGTTTGTACAGAAGCTTCTTTTGCGCATCTGATGAACTTCATTTCGTACTCAATTGCATGTTGGAATATCTTGTTTTCCATACAATACCACCAGTAATTTGTGAAAAAAATGGCGGCGCCGCGTGAGTTAAGTGCCGCCGCCATTTTTTTCACAAATTACTGGTGGTATTGTATTTCACGCGAAATGAGAAGCATAGAAACTCTGACTTCTTTTCTTTCAAATCGATGATGGAAAAGGTAAATCGATGATGCTTTCTGCGACTGTGACTTGAATTTGACACTTTGACTATATGCCAATTCTGAGATTAGGAGTCTTCAGAACGTTGCACACGTTGTTTAACAAACTTGTACTTGTATCTCATCTAATCTCTAGTAGTAAACCAACCAGATGGGTAAAGAACAAGTAACATTTTCACATCATACTTGTGCAAAGCGTGCTTGAGTCTCCTCAACTCGGAATAGATAATAATTTTCTGCTGTGCATAAGCAAAGGATGTGCTTCACCGTTTCTGCTTAAATATTGATTCACAATGGCGGGAAATACTTAATTTAAATGGAACTCCACTTCAAATGTACATCTAATAACAGTAAGACACGCTTGCTTCAGTATCTCTTTACTGATTTTATTAATATTGTGTTGCATTTCATCATATCTCTCATGTCTTCACATAAGTTTTGTTTCGGACATTTCCTTGGAAACTACTGGTGAAAGGTTTTGACACGGTGGGTAGTTCTTAGCCCCGAAACCAGTATGCGCAAAAACATATTTGGATTTTGTCTTCTCTTAGTATATTTTCTTTCTTTCTCTTTCTTTTTTATAAGGCTAAATTGACATTTAACCGTTATCTTCTTTTGGTGTCATCGGCACAGATGGAGGAGAAGATATTATTGGGTAGACATAACGTCAAATCATTTATATAAAGTAGAAATTGGAGTGGTTCTAACAAGGGAACGATCCCAACTCAAGGTGTGGAATTGGAATGAATCGCATATCATTAGATGCGTCTTGATGATTCCAAATCTACCTTTCGTATCTGCGGAACCGTTTTCTGCAAAAAGTTATAAGCGTTTGAAAATGTGAAGTCACTGGAGTTTCAATGCTCAATGTCCTTTAACACCTTGACGACCGCTTGACACACTATGTGTTTCAAGCAATGACTACCACGTGGGATCGCTTGACACACATGGTGTGTCAAGGCTTGTTAATCGTTAAATTGACGACTATATTAGGTACAAACTCATTCCAGAACCTTTCTTTTGCTGTTAATCTGGAAATAACCCCTATCTTTCGTGTCAGCCTTCCACTGCTAGTGCAGGTATACCGTAGATGGCATAATGCGTGATTTTATCTAAAAAATGCTGGCTGGTCCGTGAAAGACTTTGGCCCCAAGAGGCAGACAATCAAAGATTTGCATTGTCATCAATGTGTTAAAATCCAACTTTAGCGTGTATGATTAGCATGATATTGAGTGTACTGATTTCAAGAAATGCTCACATTCAAAGAAACATAAACAAGTGTTTTTTAACAATTAATTCTCAAGATATGGCGTTGTATTATTACCAAATTTGTACTTCTCATTGCTCATAGCTTTTACTAACGAACTTTAGTTGCTTTTAGTTGTTCAAAAACACTCATTTGTGTTTCTTTTGAATGTGAGCATTCCTTGGAATAAGTACACTCAGTATCACGCTAGTCATACATTTCCAAGTTGGATTTTGAAGCACCTTATGCATTGAAACCCCAGTGACATTTTTCTTCACATTTTCAAACGCTTATAACTATTTGCTGAGAACGGCTCCGCAGGTATAAAAAATTTGGAATCAGCTTATCAAGACGCATTCAACGATATGCGGTTCATACCAATTCGCCTCCTTAAGTCGTGATCGTACTCTTGTAAGCAGCTTCCTTGGGGAAAACAGTTGTTTGTTTAATAGGAGAGGAAGAAGATTAAGTGATTAAAGCGTGTTCCAGCCATTCTAAGCCCAAATTTTGCATAGTGCATGTTACCTTTATGGAAGCCCAACATGCAAAAGCAAAAGCATGAGTAGATTTGTTGAGTGGATCCCTCAGAAATTGCGCGTCAAGCGGATCCACCAGGCTTCTGTCCCGGAAAATTATGTCCGAATCACCATTTTTTGCAGTCGTGGTGTTTGGTAAGCAAAATGTGCAAGCGATGGACTTTAGCCCGAAAAGTGGTTAAAAGTTTACTACCTAACGAAAAGGGCGCCAGAAAGAATTGGTTGCGTAAATGGTCAATTTGCAATTCTAGCCAAGCATTTCAGAAGATTTTCGCACAGAGATGTAGCTCACGGTTACTATTGCCTTTATGGAGACTACCAAGCCACGACAAATTCAAAAACCTTTTCAAATTTGCGTTTGTCTTCCTGCAAAAAGTTTCATCGCGAAATCACCGATCTTACGTGAAAAAACTTTCTAATGAGTAGTTGTTTATATTAGGCTTGAAACTAAGTTTTGCAACCGGTTTCATAACTTCACTCTCTTTGGATATGGCGCACTCAAACTTTGGCATTATGTAGAAGGCAATGTGAGCTACAAGTGCGCACAAATTGTCTAAATTTTGAACACGAAAAAGAAAAGTTTCATGCGTTTTTCGAAAACTAGTGAGATTTGAGAATTTTTGGGGTTTTAAGCTAAAATGAAGCCTTTGGCAGCATAGGCCATGCGCAGTAATCCGGATTCGTCTAGAAATTATTGCTGGAGGTTGACTCCTTTGGCCTAGTAAGAAAGGAACAAAATTTAAGGGCATGTCGAGATTTGGCGTCCTCATGAATTCGAACGAGTCGATGTACGCAAGAGCTTCTGGGTAAGACCGTCAATGACTAAAGAATCCGGAGCTCAAATTTCGCCAAAACTTTACATCGTGGGGTTATTTGACCTGCCAAACGTGAATATCACATTCATTTATTAAATTAACGCCTTTTTCCTTGTTTAGGGTAAGACCCCATATCGTACACCTACAGTAATCTTACAAAAAAACCCTTATCACACAATTTCACTATCGTTTTCGTGATCAGCATGTTGGATAACACCCTTATGCCAAGTTTCAGCCAAATCCGTCAAACTTTGAATTTTCCCCCTTCATACCATGCACCTACCGTAACCCTCACTGCGACGTCAGAATTTGGTAGGACAGCAGCTGCGCTTGTAGCTTACGTAATAGCCAACGTAGTTGCAAAATTTGATTGCGCCATGTTGAGTGACAGGGAAATTATGAAACCAGTTGCAAAACTTAGTTTCCAACCTAATATTTTAATCGTGGTAGTCGGCATAGCGCGGTGAGTTCCAGTGCCATGATTTTACGAGAATGAGTAAGGCGCATAGATAGTAGAGCCAGTGCGAGCCCTCTGCGAAGCAAAGGTGACGCACTGGTGTCCATTAAGTCGATTTCGTTTGTGAGCTGCGGACATTCAACTGCGGAATAAAAACTTTGTAAAAAGTTCTGAAAGAAAGCGACAAATGCTTTAACTTGTCTTTATCAGTTTTACAAAACATTACCGAATGAGACACATGTAGTGCCAATACTGTGCGCAATTTTCGTATTTTGATTGCAGAAGCGGTAAAATGTTTTGGCTTTTGTGTAGTCTATGTAGCACACAGTAACAAGTCCTTTATCCTTTTGATATTGCGACTACGTGCAACAACTTCTTCTTCAAGATCCTGTGAATTGCCCATTCACGTTTAAACTTTGCGGGAAACTTGCGGTACTTTTGCAATACAATATGTCGAGCTTTATAACCCAAAGACTTTAGCTTCCAATTTTTGAATTTTCTTTTTATATGCGAAAGTGTGCTCTTGATCAATTTTGATTCTGGTTACGAACTGCTTTCTTCTATTAGTACATGACAATATTCAGCAAACATGTCCTTGAAAAGTGAAGAGGGTCCGAGCCGTGAGGTGATTGCTGACATTAGCTTACTTGTCGATGGGGCTGGTACAGAGTTATAATGAAGAATTATTCAAGTTTCTGCTTTGAAAGTCGTCAAACAGAGACTTTTTTGATATAGGGAAAAACCAAATTTTCCATGAATCGCTAAATTATTAGAAAGCTTGAAACTTTCGGAATCAAAAAAGAGGCGGTTTCTCTACTGGCGAATTCTTGCTCTATAATATAATACAGTCAGAGAATTAGGCATCTTTATTCGCTTTCTGAGTAATAATTTCCCGGAAAATTGCATTGCTTTCAGTCAAAAAGATATTTATCTCCAAGTGGAAAAGCCAAAACAGACCATTTTGTGAGGCTGACGATATTCTATGCTAAGCAGTGGCGTACCACTGCAAATAGGTCGCGAAATTTTTGAAAGTTACTCAAATGTGCTATAAAATGTGCAAGCGACTTGTTTTTACTTGTAAATAAATGATTTCCA